CGACGATCCAGTATGCTATTGGAGGTACGTTGGTTCTCTGGACTTGTGACGGCCGCCCCAAACTATCATGTTTGTGTTTGCGATAGACTGGCTTGCTGTGACCCACCACGGAAGGGGCATCATGACTGCAGCAGTCGGTCTCTTGATGACCGCGTGGGGGATCCCTAGAATGGGAGTTCGCCATGTCGTAGTGCACACTTTTGCTGGGAATATTGGTAGCAACCGAGTTTTTGAGAAGAACGGCTTCGTAAACAGAGGGCCGTCCAACAACGGGATAATAGTTAGAGGAGAGAAGAAAGTATTGACCCTTCTTGACTGGAAATACGACTTGGATGAGAACGAGACGTGACTGTATTTCAAACTGTTTATTAGTAGTCACGTGCAATCAAACTCGGCTTGATAAGATGGGCATCTGAAAATTCAGAGTTTGTTTTGTACGATGGTCCCAAACTTTCCTTAAGCTGCATCTCATCTGAATTCCCTGGGTTAATACGTTTCATCCGTATGCGGCGCTCTATCACCAAGGTGTATACTTTCCTTCATCGACCAATGTCAACCTCCTCCCTTCCACCATCACCTATCCCTCTTCTAACGTCTGTCGCATTATACAGACAATGGCGGCAGAGAGCCTTCGATGAGGGTAAATCTGTGGGTTTCGTACCGACCATGGGAGCTCTTCACGACGGACATTTGTCTCTTGGTGAGCACATCCCACACACTTTTTCTTTGAAGTCTATAAATACCTCCTTACTAATCTCGAACCATTCGACTCAGTCCAAAGGTCGCTAGCCGAGAATGAGCTGACAGTTCTTTCCGTCTTTGTGAACCCAGCCCAGTTCGCTCCGCATGAAGACCTTGCCACGTACCCTCGCACCTTACCAGGAGACCTGGAACTCCTTACAGCACAGCAGGTTACTGTGGGCGACGCCGTGAGGAAAGCCTCTGCTGTATTTCTTCCCTCGGTCCAGGACATGTATCCATCGGGTATAAGCCAGGATGTTTCAGCACAAAAGGGCGCATTCGTTGAGATGAAGGGATACGGACATCAGATGGAAGGCGCAAGCAGGCCAACGTTTTTCCGAGGTGTAGCGACAGTTGTAACCAAACTATTCAATGCGGTCCAGGTGAGATGGCCTCTCCGCAGGACGCACCTTAGCTTGACGATGACTGTAGCCCACGAATGCGTATTTTGGCCAGAAAGATATTCAGCAAGCCTTACTTCTTCGGAGACTCTGCAAGGACCTGCTTTTCGCACACCCCGAAGCTGACCATGTCCATATTGCCCCACGACCCGTGATCCGAACGACGGCTTAGCTTTATCGTCCAGAAACGCGTATCTCTCTGCGAATGAGCGGAAATTTGCACCTGCGCTTTACAAGGCCCTTAAACACGCCGAGTCTGCGTGGTCGAACAGCGAGTCCAAGGACCGATGCATTGCAAAAGCTGTCGCTGTCATTGACGAAGTAAAAGCACAGGCTGCCATAGACGGAGTGGATGTGCGGCTGGATTATATAGAGATGAATGATTCAGAGACATTCGATGTTTTGAACGTATCTTCGAACCATCAGTTGGTAGGAGATATACCTGTGATTCTGAGCGGTGCGCTATGGGTTGGGAAGACCAGGTTGATTGACAATATCGTAGTTGGTGACCTCAATCGTATAATAAGATAGCTCGCAAGTAGATGCAGCTATGGCAAGATTACTAAATGCTGAAGCACATCCAGAGTCAGACTACTGTCCAATTCATTATTTGAAGTTGCCGAGTCACTTATCTTCACCTCCAAACCTTCCGCGATCACCAACCACCGTGACAATGGCGCATTCGAGAGTGATGCTGACGAACGGCACTTTACCATCCGCTCGACTCAACCGACTTTGTGCAGCACACCCTTTCACTCAACAGGTATAGTCATATTGTCTTTGTTACTTTTTTTGAAACGAGATGCTTGACACTTCCTCAGCTTGACGTCGTGTTCCCTGCTTCCGATGAACTCGAGAAGGTGCTTACATCCCTGAAGCCCACATACTGTAAAAGACGTTGCACGCTATCGGAGTTCCTTGATTTTGCCTCCAAGAGTCCAGGCGGGTAAAGAGAGTTTGAATCATGCCTTGAAGAAACACTGAGATGGTTCTGTTTTCTGTCAAACAGGAATACTATAACTGCACTGCCATCCACTTCCGAGTGTGTTGATACATGGTGCATCGACCCTAGAGGTGTCCTCACCCTCTGCGTCTCAAAGTCACTGTACGAGCAACTCGGGTTGATAGGGAAGAGACTCCCTTTCAAAGGGTGTCCTGAGCAGTACGGTATGTCACTCAGGATTCCAGTTCATGCACGAAAAAGAAGTGATCGAGACCTAGCGCAGTGATCCGCATACCGGTTAAGCAAGAGACCGTGTCTGTTGCTGTACGTGCGAAGCAGAAGGCAGCTCTAAAACTCTGGGACGAGCTCAGGGAAAATGGGCCTGGGAAATGGGAAGTTTTGTATTGCCAAGCAGGTATGTATGTAAGGTGGAGATCATGTGTTCTCAACCAGCTCATTCTGGTGTTCATTAAGACGCGCAGTCAGGAACCTCCGAGTCCGAGTCGCACGAAGGGGTGATCGTTCAGCCTCAAATTTGTCGTTCCACCGACATACTTGTCCCGGTCCCGGTACTTGCTCCCTTTCCCGAGGAAAGCACAGAGGATTGGGATGAATATATCGGTGACCTTTTTGAATGGGTAGGTATGGCTTGCTTAGGAGCTCAAAGGTTCGTATCCAAGTGTTACTTTTTCCAAACTTCTCAACAACCGATTACGATACGGTAGACTCAAAGCGAATGACCGTGTCAATCCTTACGTTGCTGTCTACGAAGTTCCCGCTCCTTCATATATTGGCGACGTGACACAGATAACATGGGCGGCTTTCCTTCACCAATCGTTCATCAAAGATGTTCTGGACACGGTGACGTCAGACAATTCACGCTCGATGGTGTTAGAGAGAATTGATCATTTGTTGCGTAGGTCGCATTTGGCATCTGCAACCGATAACCACGCGTTCGTTGCAATGACAAGACACGGTTGTTGCACATCACCTGTTGGGGTCATCCCGTTGTCCTTGGCTCCTGATGCTTCTTTCGACACGGCCCGAGATCCACCTCTCCGAGCACCGGCCCTCGATGCGGAAGACACCGGCTGTTTCATCCTTGGTCCAGGTCAAAATGGGAGCTTTGTGCTTGCAGAGAGTATTGGTCATTGGGATGCTAGATGGGGCTGATCTCATTGTACACTGTAGGTAGCCAAATTTATACAAACGTTTGATCCCAATATATGATATCAACAACGTTGAAAGCGGATGAATTCAGAGGCGTCAGGTCTAATCTATACGAATCCGCTAACGACTATAAAAGCACAGGATAGTAGAGTAAATGACGTGGGTCATTTACGGCCATTGTAATAGTGCATAAGTAATGGATTAGCTGAATGTATGAAGCAGGATAAAGATCACGTGCGTTGTGCATGCTGGAATGCCTTGAAAAGTCAAAATGAAGGAAAGGAAGAGGTTACGTATGAAGGGATTGCAAGTTAAGCCACGACGTCTCGGACACGGACGAGTGCGGGGGAAATATGAGCATGAGACATGCGTGCACTATTGTTAGGGAGAGGACTTGTTCCGACTGGCGAATACGTCTGGCGACGAGACGCCCAAGTGTAAATACGAGGCGAGACTGTGGGAGGTGGTGACGGGGAAAATCGAGAAAAGGATGTGTAGCGTGGCGGCGGTGTCGATGATAAATGCTGGTGGTAGAACGAGGAGAAAGATAACCCTTCACCAGGTGAAGGGTGCTGGGAGTATGTGCCGGGAACAGGGATGGGTGCACTGGGGGTTGGAAGGGGGAGTTCACCTCGAGGTCCATGATGTGTGTGATTGAAGATACTGTGTGGCTGCGTGGCAGGTACTGGCTGTGGGTGTGCGCCTAATGGTGCCATGATATCCCGCGAGGAATCGATCTCTACTGATTCGTGCGACACTGGTGGGTCACTCTGGACTTCACCATGGATGTCATGGGCTGCGAGACGAACTCGGACGGGTGTTTCCGCCTCTGTTGTCTGCCTTCGGTAGGCCTGAGTAATGTACTGGGCTGGGCTATCACCCCCAACAGCCATCGGACTGTCACGGTCGAGATGACTACCCTGGCCAGTGAGGTCTAGTCTGATAACTACGGTCTCTCTGTCTTCTTCCATCTCTTCTTCGTCTTCCGAGTGTTCTACAGGCACATGGTCAACGAAGGCCTCGTAAACTGCCTGGTCATTTTCGAAAAACTCGTCAGAGTCTGGATCAAAAGCATTGATATATGACCATTTTTCGTATGGGAGGGGAGCCTCTGGCTCTCTGATGATAGGCTTTGTCTGGAAAGCTTTGGAGTAAAGAGGGCGACCCATTTTTGATAATAAAACAAGTAGAGATAAAAACTGAGGGAGAGAGGGTATACACGGAAGATGATGGGAGAGCAAGTCCAACTTTAAGAAGACGCGTAAAAAGCACGCGCTGAATCCTTTCTGGGCTTTAATTATAGGTTCATGATGGGCCAGTACAGAATTTAGGGCAGGTGCGGACTTTGACGGTAACTACGTACTTCCGACATTGTAAGGCTGTTCCGTAACGCTCGTCCTCTTCAAGAAACTCTGATTGCACTCGCCGATGCGCTCTCCTTTTGTGGATAGCTCCATGCGTCCCTTGCACTTTCGGCACACCGTGATGAATTCTGGAACGCGGCTATGCAGTCTGATGCTGAATGCTCATGGTCATTTTCATACAAAGAACGAGTCAAAAACAGATGTCCTCGCAACAACATTCTGTGATATATACTCTCTGGTGGTATTGCATAACTACATGGTAGTATGTATGTCGTGCAGTACCACTCCGGATCCCGTGGTTCATTTCATGCTTCACATGACCGGCACCTTCGAACGGTCCGAACTCCTCGGTTTCGTCGCAGCTTGGCATTTGGGCGTCAGTGTTCATTAAATAACTATAATTCTCGTGGGTAAATCCGAGCTTTCTGATCGTATTTCAGCAGCTTCTCGAACTGTGGAAGTCTCTTCCGAGGCTCGAGCGCTTCCGGGTCGAGATTTCGAGAAGTCTACAGAATTGCTCTTCCATGAGCTGCCAGATAGGCCATCATCTTTGTCATCTCCGACCAGTCGACCATATAGATCCTTGGAATTTACACGGCATCCCCGCTCGGTGGGTTTATTGGTAAGTATATTATTGAAACGTCGATTTTGAGAGATTTAATTATCTTCTGATCGACGTTGATAGGTAGGAACGATTTTTTCTATTCGGTTTACCTATCATAGGCGACCAACTTCTATTCGATAGCTGATCACGCAATCCACTGGCACTCCACGTATCCGTCTGTCAAACTATGTAAGACCAGCCATATCAATCTTAGCCTTTCCTGCGAGATAGTGTAACGCCGTTGGATTTCTGGAAGGCCAAGCCCAGACTCAACCCAATTAGGATGATGGAACATACTAAAGCCACGAATCATCAAACCCCCCGTGAAAACCTATGGGCGGCCCGGGATCTCGTCACATAGGCTAGCGTCCTATGTAGATAGTTCAGCCATTTTGTAGATTGGAATTTAGACGGCGAGTCGTTGCATCAATCTAGTGCTAGCTTGTGTTACAAAATTACACAAGGTCATCGGGCCAATTTGTTGTACATATTGCTTAATTTATTAGAATCTCTGAGAAACATATGCATCGCAGTCTCAGACGCAGTATGGACTGCAAGAATACTAATACAAGTGCGATAATGACGATAATGACAAGGCAACACCGAAAACGATGCGAACATGACGACAGCAATAATGATAACATCCTGCCTGTGAGACAGAGCTATAAATGTCACAACTGGAAAGGACTTCTTTGTCGGCATCAAGTGGGCTAGGTAGGCCCTGGCTTGCAGTCTCGCCACCATCAATATCAGGTACAAAAGGAGTACGAGGTGAAGAGGAAAGTGAGGTAGAAGTGGAGTAGATGATGCCGGTCGGCTCTCTCAGCTGGAGTAAAATCCGGAGGGGGTGCGATAGGGATAATCCTCGGTTTCACTTCTTATATGTGTTTGATGGTGCTCCTACATGAAAGGAGATGGTAATATACTTGGTGGTTCGTGCTAAGCCTGTTTGATTGTGCGAGGCAAAGGCTATACATTGTATACGAAAAGCTGAACTACACCAACTCTAGATTCTTTAGTCGTTTTCACGATGACACGAGATTTTTGCCAAATTTCAATTTGGTCCCTAGACAGTGTAGCTCCGCTACTCGTAGGTTTACACTGGGTATCAGACATTAACGTATTGTTACATCCAGTCGTAAATCACATCGTAAGTTACATTAAAGAAAGGGGAAAAATCCAAACCATTCACATCGGACCATAGTTTTCATAGAGTGTATCTATAACCACTCCATTCGTCTCCCTTTTCTCTCCTGGCATCGTCAACGCTTGCGAACCGACCATTGACTTCAAAGCCTCCCTCATGTCCCTCGATGATTTCATCTCGCTCCCCGCGGTCCCGACGAGCGTTCTCCCGTTTTAAGAGGAACCTGAACGTGACCGTAGCGATGAGACCAGTTCCGATGTACATCAGCACAAGTCCATGGCCTAATGGGTACCAAGGCGTCTGGTTTGCACGATAGACGTTAGAACTAACGGCGCCTTGCAAGTTGCCCCTGAGTTGGTGTCAGTCATGGATCACGCGCACCCTAAAAATAACTCACCAGCTGATAACCATCGCAAGAGCGACACTACGCTTGTATGTTCCCTCTGAGTTATTGGACATCCAGGCACTATCTCCGATCGGTCAGAAGGGAACAAATTGTTGATGGATCACACTTACACCGTGTTTGCTGCGGAATCAGGGACAATCAGCATTAATATTACGGAAACAATAGAAAGAGCTCCACTCACGAATGCAAGGGTAAATGCCGCTACATTGTAATTGATCAGGCATGGGTCAATTGTGTTGTAGAACTGACTTACCAAG